TTAATAAAATACGCAACTACCACCGTGCGGAAAAGTTCGTCTTACTCCCGTAAGACTCTTTATTATATAGTGATTTGATGTGTCTTATTGTCAATTACGAAATAGTTGAAACATTTTGGATTCTAATTTTCGATTATATATTTATTTTTCTTTCAACTTTGTAAATAACAAAGTCATGACACTTTTGGGAATTTCCGCAGCCGAGAAGAAAAGGATTATTATAATAAGGATTATTTGTTGAGCTTTTTTTCTGTCGCAAAAAAAACATGGTAAATTCCTATTGTTTTCTCTCATCTATTTGAAATTCATTTAGATATGTAAACTAACAAACAATTGTAGAGTTCAACATCTGTTTCATAATAAATTGACGCCTGAATAAAGAGTTAAAATAAAATGATCTCAATCCCAATCAATGCTTAACAGATTTCTTATCGCCAGTTCAAAGTTCCGCATACAAATCCATGCATATTGCAAATATGACATTAAATCAATCCAATATGAGCACACATTACAAGCATTCAATAATATTGTGCAGTTTCATTTCATTATCAATGCTTTTCGATGATATAAATGTAGATCGCTCGACAAGGTGCAGTAGTTTGCGTTCAATTTCGAAGTGTTATTCAACTGTTGAACATTCCACCAAGGGAATTTTGTTAGTTTTTTGATTTCTTTATCCGGATGTGTAATTTGGTCTAGAGATTTAAGTAATCAGAGTATCGAATTGGATTGATTTTATGTTCTTCGAAGACATAAATTTTGTTTTGAAAAGAAAATGTGCGGTATAACTTAGTCTTTCACTGAAATGAAATGATTTCAAAATATAAATAAAAGTGAAAGAAATATTTTCGGCGACTAAAACGAGCTTTTACTAAATTAACAAGAGCTCACATACAAACTTATCCTTTATGAGTTTTGATCGATATTATTCATTTCTTGCATTCGACACCACAAAGATTCATAGATATACTGAAAATGCATATTTATAAAGACATTCGGGGGGTTAAGATGTTTACAAAATAATTGCACTGTGGTCACGTTGAATCGCTGAATCGTGTACATATGTTTCATCCACTGGAATAGATGCACAATGTGTGTTTTGTTGAAGTGTTATTGAATTTATTAATATATTCATAACAACCGAGATTGTCCCATACGATTGTTTATATTGATTAAATGGAATATGTGGCCATCATAATGCACGTATAATGTCTATCTTCAACGTTAAATGTGAAAAAGGCGGTATCAGTGGTTATGTGTCGCCGATTAGAAATGCTTAAATTCAAGCATCGAATTCGGCCATCAGTCTGCTTTATTCTCTGCGATCAATCATGAAAAGTTAAGGTTCAAAAAGATGTATTTCTTTATTTCAGTTCATACTGCTTTGTTGTTTGCATTTAGTGAAAAGCATCGAATAACGTTTTATTGTGAAAAATGAAGTCATTGGGTGTGTTGATTCTATATTTTGCTCTCTCTGGGACCAGTGGCATTGAAAGTCATCGCAATCAAGGTAAATTTCATTCAACAAGAAAATTATTAACCGTAATTGCTATCAACAAACGGAACGATTTTTCGTTCGTCGTAAGAAAAAAATATTGTTATTTTGTCCATTCGCTCGTAGAAATTCAAATGTTTGTGACGTTCGTTCGTTGTTCGTAAGGTGTTAGTAGGAAAATATGAAATGATGAAGACACACTACATATTTTTGGTTAGCTTAGAAAAGGAATATATTTTTGTTTAGAGCAAAAGATCGCTTGAAAAAAATTTAACTCGTTTTTGTGCTCAGTAATTTTTTCATATCTCATTCAACCAGAGCTGTCAACGAATCGTTCGTTGCTGTTCGTTGACAGCTCTGCAGAGAACACCAATTGAGAGCAAAACAAATATTAAATTAAATTAATAACAAAAACATACATCACTTACATAATTGAATACAAACACTTCCAGATGTCGTTTTTTACTTTTCCGCACACCCACTGTGTGCAGTAAAGTCTAGGGGGAATTATCGATATGTTTATACGGTTTATACGCAAGTATTTTTTTACTGAATATACTACAAATAGATGAAGACATCGCAAGTATGCCGCATATACGCTGCATATTTGCGTATAAACCACATATATACGGAGTTATTTGCAAATATTATTTGCAAATATTCTTCCGTATATGCGGTTTATATTCTTATACGCAGCATATTCGTAACTTATTTTATTCGATATTTTCCCCTAGAGTAAAGTATTCCAGTTACCCCAAAATTCGTTTTTCTATTCGTTTTTCAATAAGTTATTTGTTAGCACGATAAAATACAAAATAATTATATTTATATCTATGCCAAAGCTATGCATTTCTGATGAAATTTAATACATGTCAATCGCAAACTAATGAATTTTGATCAATTTCAGTCAATCGATTCAGGCAAGCCAAATATAAGTAAGTACAAGTGTTTTTACAACCAATAAATAACTAAAAAACCGTTTTTATTCATTCATAATCTTCGAAAAAACCTTCACTGCAGAGAAGCATCGGAAGTATTTTTCAACGCTACTGGGAATGGTAAGCAATGAACATCTGGTGGCATTTTTTTTAATTTGACCTTAAACATTTTTGGACCAGACCTTTGAGTCTATCACTTTTCCGAACACTCTGTGCAGTAAAGTATTGCAATCAGCTCAAAAATTTGAAATTGCTAAAAATCGTTTTTTACAGTGGGTGTGCGGAAAAGTAACAGCCCGTGTAGTATACGGGCGCTAAATGGAAGTCGCAGGCGCTCTTATTTGCGCTTTGGAAGAGGAATGACCGAGAGCGCAAAATATTTTGTCGCGCTATCGAGGATTTCTCTTTAAACATTTTCGCATAAAGACACAGCAACCGAATATGAGTTATGTATACTGTACATACAGTCCACAGAGTCGCTCAATATCATAGCACACTATGCACATTGTGCATACTATTCATATTGTGTGCTATGCTAGTAAGTGACTCTGTCGACTGTATGTACTGTATGCAAAACTCATATTCTGTTGCTGTGTCTTTATGCGAAAATGTTTAAAGAGGAATCTCCGATAGCGCGAATAAGAGTGCCTGCGACTTCAAATTAGCGCCCGTATACTACACGGGAGGAGTTTGTGTATAGAGCATTTTCGGGTGGCAACACCTATATGTGACTTAGCTCGTTGGAAAGGTACATCATTTTCCGACTTCCAGTAAAAAATTCATGATATTTGGTTTACTGGAAGCGGAGTAATTGCGTCTGATATGTCAGTATGTTTTTTTATCGGTACAAAAATGAATTTCGAACAAAAAATAATCAACTTTTGTGTTAAATTTTGAAAGTCCAACGAATTAGATATTTCAAAAACCATTTTTTTATACACAAAGTCCTGTTTACTTTGAGACGCACCTTGTATTTATTTCCCAAAAGACATTGAACATACACTGTCCATATAGTTCATTTGCTGAATAATTTTAATTGTG